ATTATGTGACCCCTTGAGCTGCATAAACTAATATGCAATCCAATTAAAATATAAATATCAAAGCTCATTCAAAAACTCGGAAGGCTACAGGGGACATGGGCGCAGAGGACAACTCTCTGGGATGTACTCGGAAGATGAGCTGGCAGGATTCTGCAGCATTGACTGTTTCTATGATGCTGGAGGCACCTTCCAAGAATAAAATGTTTGTTTAATAAAGACTTTCCTCTTTGTATGTACTATATATATTTTTTTTATTTTTATTAATCTTACCACCAGACACAACATGAACAAATGAATGATACACATCAGGACAGTAACTTAAACTACAGTATTTTAGGTGTACAGAAACCTCTACTCATGTTGTTAAATGATATACAGCAATATCTTCCATAAAACGTAGTTGATTGATTTGAATCATAATTACTACCACTGCACAAACAGTGAAAAATGATATGCCTACAATTTATGAATTTGTCTTCTCTGTGAGTTGTATACTCTTCATTCTTTATGCAAATTAATTATAATTATTATTTTTCAAAGTTCGTTTATGATTCATTCATAGCATTAAAATAAATGAGAAACAGAGAGTGTCATATACCTTTAAGAAATACGTGGGGGCGGGGTTCATAACCCTTTAGGAAATGCCCAGAGTCATATAATAGAAGAGTTACGACAACGGAAGTCCAAAAACGGTTATCGTCACGTGGTTCATGTAGAAGAGGATCGTTCCCCGGAAGTTCATGGCGGGCAATGTGAATGCATTGATAACAGGAGATAGAACTACGATTTTTGGTAATTATTAGTGAATAAAGGTTTTGATTTGCAATATTTATACAACAAATCGATATGTGTATGTATTTACATCAATATGTTTTAAAAAAATAAAATAGAATTTGCTAATATTAAGTGATAATATTAGGATTAGTGTGAACAACTAGTTTACATGTTAGGCTAACAGTGCCTTGGTTAAAGAGCCTGTTGCTGTTTATTTATAGCTTTGAATTCTTTAAAACCAATATTATCTTCTTAAACTTGTATGGTAGTCAGGAGCATCACTTTCTAATGTTTATTGATATATTTAGAGGGAGGGGATCTAAAGTAATGCTTTAAAATTCAGATTAGATTAATGTCTACCATTTTCTTAAATTCATGGTAGTTTCAGTAATCCCATGGTAATTGAGGACACAAGTTATCTAAATGACTAATGTCATCTTTATGGCTTTCAGAAAGGACAGGAGACCGACAGGTGACTATCAAAGGACTAGCAGCAGCAGCATGATGATGATGTTAAATGTGTTGTTTTAGGAACATCCATTGCAAATACATGGAATTCAATAAACATTGAATAGCATATCATGCAGTTTGTCTGTGCCTTTTCCTCCTTGTTGTCCTGGTTTGCTGTGCTGCCTCCTAGTCGCCACCATGGTTTGCTGTGCTGCCTGGGGATGCTCCAATCGCTCAGAGAAAGGAGTACGAATGTACAGCTTCCCCGCTGAGACAGAGCGGAGGAAGCAGGAGCAATTTCACGACCAACAGCAACAAAATATGTGATTTATATACAAACTCTGCATTTGCACTTTTTCACAAAACGAAAACCACACCATTGGGAAAGCTTAATGTTTTGTTTAATACAAAAAACAGGGAAAGGCTTGAAAAACACAGAGTTGAGACTCAGGGTGCAGGGTGAGGGTCTCAGTGCAGGTATTCAGGCTCCATTGAATCCCCCTCTGGTCCTTGTGCTGAAAGAGGGATAAACAGACAGGAGAAAGGGTTATACACACTTATATAGCACACCTATTGGATGGGAAATTGCCTTGGGGAGATAAGGTGTGGTCTTTGTTCCCAACTGAAGTTATGGAACTTTATTATTTGTGAGTTTAACAAAGTATGACAAATGGCATCAGTATCATGTGATATGAATTTCTATAAAGTTGTCTCACATTCTTGGTCATATTGTATATACAGTATGTAATGAGTATAACATGTCCAGTAAGTATAAAGTGTTTCCTAATACTGTGTATTCAACCACTATGGAATATGTATGTGGGCAGACAAAACCGAGTTGTTCTGTGTGTGAAGTAACCTCAAGTCACTCCGCAGGCACATTTTGATGCAGACCAGTTTGTCAAGACAAAAAAGGGCAAGACTAGGCTGAGAGCAGAGGCTATACCCACCATCTTCGTGCATCGCCCTGTGGTCAAAAAGAGAAGGGCCCCTGCACCACGATTCACCCCGGGACCTCTACAAAGCCCATAGTTCATGATCACAGCGATAGTGTGAAAGGTGACACAGGTATAATAAGTATGAACTCTTAGTAACAAAAGTAATATTTCTTATTTTTAAGTGGTATAATATTTTAAATGTTCGAACATTTACAGTGCCATGTCTTCTACTTACATTAGTCTCAAAGATTGAGGGAAGAAGGGAAGGGATCACTGCCCTCCACCTGCCAGAGGAGCGCAAACAACAAAAACAAGCAAGGTGTCCCGTCATGTACCTGGAAGTTTGGGTTGGCAAAATGGAGTAAGAGAGGGACTTGAAAAACCTTGGTGGCTCTCTACTCATGTTGTTACAGTTGTCTCGGTTACAGCTCTCAAGTTTTTTTTTTGTGCCATTTCCACATCTTTAGAAAATATGAAAAAATTGAAGTGAAATCAACCTCATCTCTGGAGAACAAACTTCGATTTCTCTGTCTTGTGAGTTTGCAGTCTTGCAGTTTTGCTCCTCCACCTGTAACATCACTGCCCCTCCACCTGCCATACAGTAGGTTACTAACAAGATTACTTATATAATACAGTGATATAATACATGTTTAGTATGCTTACTTATATAAAACAGTAGTATTAAACTTACCTTGTGTGTTCACTCTCACTTAAGTTCTTCTCCCTTTGTCATCAATCCAAAATCAGCTGAGCTGCAACATTATACACACAGGTAATAATCAACATAATCACAAGGACACAATATGGCTCTGCTAAAAACACTCACTCTTACACGCACCAAAGTTATATTTATCTAATATTTAACTCCCTCCACCCCCGCATACAATCCCGTTTAGAAGCCCCTCTTCTCTAATTCGACAACGTTGGACCAAATAGACATTAAGAGAACGGAATTTACAATTAAAAGGCTGTTACGTGTGTTGCTAACTTGCTTCGGTATCCTAGCTTGATCTGTTATCTGTAAACGTTCCCTAAATCTACTAATTTAGGGATAATCCACTGACATCCTTTAATACACATGTTCAATTGAATCAGATGTACTGATAATATCCGCAATATAAATCTTTAAACTTCTTACCTTTAAAAGTCCGTCACGAACGGTCTATTATGCTGCAACTCCACAGCTCTGCTAGCCTTGGCGCTAACTTCCGGGGAACGATTGAGAGGCTCCACGATCCGCCATTGCTGTAAAAAAGTGGTCCATTGGAGTGAACGGAGATGTCATAACTCTTCTATTATATGGCTCTGGAAATGCCCCTATACGATCGCCCCTATACGATCCGCCTCCTTGCTGCGGTCTGCAGCCAGACTCTATTGGGTAAACCAGCCTAACACCAGCTAATACCAGCAACCATCTTAAGGTGGTCTCTGCTGGTTTTTTCAGCAGGGCAGGTAACGCTAGAAAACATAACATTTATATTGTATGACAAAGTGTTAATTTAATGTCTCTGGCTAGCTATAGCTACTTGCTAACGGTTTAGCTTACCCGCGCGATTCAAAGTATTGTCAACAAGTAACTGTAATTTATGCTTTGCTTACATGTTCGCATAACTTGGAAGTGGACTGACATTTACATACCTTGTTTACCTGGCGCAAGTGGTGGCTCTGGGGTTGTTGTGTGAGCCACCACTTGAGAATTGTCGTCTTTTTTAAGGAAACATTTTCTTATGTACATCTTCAAAAACTCAGAGTCCGACTGACAGTTTAAACATTGTCACAGGACCCGTCAGCCAATAAGACACGTTTATTTCCATGCAACTCTCTGGTGATTGGTCTGGTGTCTTGCCTGTTGCATTCACTGAACACGGGAAATTACATTCCTGCCGTCCTCTCTACACTGTAAAACTTAATAAGTTGTGGTAACTTAGAAAAAGTATGCAAACTCGTTGCCTCACAATAAGTAACTTAACTTAAAATGGTGAGTATGAACAACTTGTGTATTCTAAGTGTGCTTCAATTAATTTTTTGAAGTACAGCTGACACAAACCTTTTAAGTTATGTAAACTAAGTTATGTAAACTTAAAAGGCATGCTTTGCATTAACCTATTTTTTTGTATTTGTGTGAACTCAATGAATAAATTAAACCCTACTTAAATATACAAATCACCAGAACTTAACCCTTTTAAATTCTACTAACTCGTAATTTCTAAGGTTTACTATTAAATTAAACAAACTAAGTCCTGCTAACTAAGATAATTGTACTACAACAAATCTCTAAACACGTTGTGTAAACTCCAAAAATAATGCATTAAAAACACAAATTGATTCAATTGCAATATAACATTTATTTTCAAGTGCCAACAAACAGTGCTTTTTAAGTACTCAAAACCCTTATCTTAATAAAAACAGCAGTGCACAACACACCAATTGTAAAAAATAAAAAATATATAATGACCACTATGAAGAAGAGTACATTGTACTTTGCTCTCAACAATTGACAGTTATAACAGTTTCCCCAGAGTAACAAACTTTTGTCATAACATTTAACGTTGCAACTTTTTTAAGTGCCAAGTTCTTTCTGATAGCTTATGACTATCTTGACTAAGGTCTAATCCAGTAGAGCGTTTCTCAAAGTTAATAGTTTAGGTGAGAGAGCTTTGGTTCCTAGTCCAAGCATCACTGTTTGAACGAACCTTAGAGTATTTGCCATGCATTTTGGGTGATCTAAATGCAAAGCATATATCAGGCCTGTGGAAAGATTTTGATCTTTTCCATGACAATACCTCCCTCAAGCACAATGTCTGTGGAGATTGGCTCGAGTTGCATTGAGCTTGGACCCTCCTGAGGACTGTCTTCGCTGAGAACAGTCAGCACACCAACAGTGACGGATGATAGGGCCTCATCTCTCGTTGTATCCTGCAAAGAAAAACACGTTATTTAGACTATCATCGCTACCTATTAGAGTAGGTCTTCCTATGAAAACATTCATGTTGCATTTGCATTAAAGTCTTTGCTAAAAAATGTAGCTGAAGTACACACTCAAACTGCGTTGTAACATTATATCCAAAAAGGTTCTGTAAATGTGGTATGAGGAAGCTAATGCTATGGAAGGTTGTGTCTTCCTGGTCGAATGTACTTATTGTAAGTCGCTTTGGATAAAAGCATCAGCTAAATGCAATGTAATGTAATGTAATGGATGCAAATACAGCTAGGAACATGCATTTATTTTACACCTCATTTCTAATCTAGACTCCTGGTCATGGAATTTAGTGTACAGTATTTTGAACACACCAAATTAAATCTTTTGGTTGCAAGTTTGTGTAAATAGGGGATATGACTTTTCAATAAATGCAAACCAAACAGTTTTTTTGTGTTCAAGTACTTACAAAGCATGTCTTGAAGAAATCCTTGGAGTCGTCGCCAAGAACAATCGGAATGCCTTTGAGGACAACAGAGCGCTGTTCAGTCACGTCCGGTGTCTAATGATAGAGATAAAGAAGATAAAGGTTAAATGACAAACTCACAAGTTGAAACATTTTGGCCTTTTCCATCTTTTGGAGGGGTTGTTTTAATTATTTTAGAAGGCTTTTCAAGTAGTACCATATCGTCATCAATGTATGTGACAAAAAGTTGCTACGTTATATTACTTACCGGCCAGTTGATGCTCTGCAGTTTCTGTCCCACCGATCCTTTTTTTGACTTGAACAGTTGGATGAAACGTGGGGTGTGCTGGCCCAGAGCCTCAAAGAAGTCTGCCTCTGTTACGATTATTGTGTTATGTCACGTTTTCTATGTCGTGTTTTGTTGTTCTCCCTGTCATGTTTTCCTCTTGTTATATTGTCTGGTCCTTTTCCCTGTGTTTTTCCTCCCGTCGTTAGTTTCCCTGGTGTGTCTAGTGTCTGATTGTTTTCACCTGTGGCCCTTGTGTTTCTCCTCCCCTGCCCGGCTGTGTCTCGTCTTGTGATTACCCCTCCCTGTATTTAGTCTTGTCTCTTCCTGTGTTCAGGGTCGGTTCGTAATATTACGGTAAGCAGGAAGCAGGACCCAAATGCAGATTTAAGTGACAAAAATAATTCCTTTATTTCAAGGCTACAATATACAGAGACAGAACAGAACACTCACCGCAGACCAAGTCATTACACAAGACGAACCAACACTGAACACAGGAAGAGACAAGACTAAATACAGGGAGGGGTAATCACAAGACGAGACACAGCCGGGCAGGGGAGGAGAAACACAAGGGCCACAGGTGAAAACAATCAGACACTAGACACACCAGGGAAACTAACGACGGGAGGAAAAACACAGGGAAAAGGACCAGACAATATAACAAGAGGAAAACATGACAGGGAGAACAGCAAAACACGACATAGAAAACGTGACATAACACAATAATCGTAACAGCCTCGAGGTTCCGACTGGTAATCCGATTAAATTTGGCAAATACCTGAAAAAGTAGAGAAGGGGGTAGGGTAGGAGATGGAAAGCCAGCACATTAGGAAGACATTAGTTTAAATCATAACAATTGTGCAAGCAGGCAACCACTATGGCTTAGATAGAAAGGCAGGGTACACGTCTAGCCCACAACAATATAATATTGTATGCTGAGATTTCAGGCCTCTATAATTAATATAATATTGTTTTGATTTATTGCTGCAACGTTTTGTTTACTAATTGATTAGTCGATCAAAAAATTAGAACAATAATATTTGCCAAATGTTATGATAATGAAAAATGAGCAGAACTTACAGGTCCACTGCATCGAAAGTTTTCGATCTGCTTGGCAAATCTGAAAATCAAGAACGACAAACCAATAAAAATAATCAAACATCACATATACAGCAATTTAGAAACGACAGTGTTGTATTTACCTGATTTAGAATGCAAAACGTGTATTATGAAATAAGTGAGAAGAGGACTAAATTGCATCCATGCTATTGTTGTGATCAAATTCTAGTGATGTTAAAGGGCCCATGTCATGGCCATTTCCACAGATCATAATTCCATTGTTGAGGTCTACTAGAATAGATTTATAATGTGCAATGTTCCAAAATCACATTGGTTTCTCAAACAGCATCTCTAAACTACGTGTATTCACTGAATTTAACTCTGTCCTAAACGCCATGTTGGAGCTCCCCCCCCCCTCCCTGTGAGCCCAGTGTGCTCTGATTGGTCGGGACGTTGAGAAGCTCCTAGCTGCAGTCTGAGCTACAGTGTGCGCTCCGTGGCGGTGTGGTTTTCTGATTGGCGATACACACCTAAACACAGCCAAACTCATCCTGAGCACACGCAAACACTCACAGCCGAAGTAAAAACAATAAGTGTGGCTTGATATTGAGTAAGAAAAAGGTTGATAAACGCTGCGAGATTCCAACTCGTCTGTCAGCGCTCACGGAGCTCTATGCACGTCAAGGCTCTGGGTGGGGCAACTGGGTGTTCACACGTCATAACGGCCAGGAAGAAAAAATTGGAAAATTAGAAATCTCCAACGAGGCGTTCTGTGTTAGAGTTTTACTCGTTACAGGATGTACTTTAAGGGTTTGTGACTCTGCAGACCGTTTACATGCAGAAACATCTTCATAACACACAAGAGGACGGGTAAGAACCGCAAAAAGCATGACATGGTTCCTTTAACATAAAGCTCTTACGCCGCTGCTCATAGAAAAAATACAAACGATCAGAGAGGAATTGTGTAGTGTGTAAAAATACCTTTTACTGCTGTGATCATGGAATGTGTGGAGTTGCCACCATCTGTTAAAGCCTGAATGGGGAAGAATAAAACATTTGAAAGCAGATATTTCTAACAAAAACATAGACATTTAATCGATTATAGCAAATATTGCAAACATGACAAATCATCACCACATTTTTTTAATATGGCATAGCCTTTAAATCACAAAGACCTGGATATTACAACCATCAAATACATATTATTCAACTGAGTATGCCAGCCAACATCTTCACTATTATAACAGATTATGGTTACATTGAATGTAAACACTATACTCTTTTTAAATGTAGACTAATATCAGTTAGCTTTTAAACTATGCTAATTTAAATCAAGTTTCACCAAATGCACTTTAAACATATGCAGGAGTGAAACAACCATTTCAGTTGGTATCTCCATATGATTATTGTAAAAATAAACTATTAAAAGGTAATAGACTACTATTACTGTGTAATACATGATTCAACTGTCACACATTGTTTGGGATTTTTTGTTTTTGTTGACAATTTCCGTTGATATATTTGAAAATTGAAATCCATTAATCTGATGCACTTTGAGAGCAACATAAATAGGATATAAATAGTGTGTGCTCATGTAACAACTGTGTGCATTTGTAAACAATTAAAATAGAAAGAAACTGATTGTATAATTTTCAACAGTGACTTCAGATGGCAAGAACGTTACATCTACACTTCACGTTGGAACCTGACGACCCCCGCCACTCCCCGTTGTGGCGAATTGTAACGCCCACAGACATAGCCGCCAGACACATTTATGGCGCGTTTCCACTGCAGCGGGGTAGCCCCGTTTAAGCGTCCCTAAGCGTCCTCGCTCTGGCCTCGGGCTGCCTCGCTGGCCGGCCCAGGCCGTGGCGCATTTCCATTACAGTTTAGGACCTGGGGTAGCAACGCAGTGTAGGCGGGGCGATCGGCTTTGTTTTTGTTCACATTTCGAGTTGTTCCGTCGAGCTCCCGCTGGATTTGATCATCCCCAATGAGATGTAGGAACGTCGTCACCTCCTCGGTCGACCACGGTGTACTTTTCTTATTAGACGTAGCCATTTTTGTAGCTCATCCGTTTACAAAATGCTGTTTATAAAAATGCTGCAAGCTTGCTTCTAGATATATATGCGACGCTAGGGATGAACTCGCGCGCAATCTTGTGACGATTCTCTCTGACCAATCAGCAGTCGAGAGTGTTGACGTCACTAGTTCAGCCCTGGCCCTGGTCTGAGGGAACCACGATTTTATGAGGCCGGAAAAAGAGGGAAAAAGTACCCGCTGGCCGGTACTAGGCTATATGGAAACGCCACCAAAAACCGGCCTGGCCGCTTGAGGACGGTTAAGGACGCTTAAACGGGGCTACCCGCTGCAGTGGAAACGCGCCATTAGACTCCAGCTGTTTCCCCGCCAAAAGAGCGAGTCGCGGCGAAGTAATGCCCGGTACATGGCCAAGCCAGCTCCGCGGAGCTTGAGGTTGCACCCGCAGTCTCCACCCAGGCACGGCCGCCCGTAGCGGGAGGGTCTCTCCGCCAGCGCCGCAGTGACGGCTTGCAGCACCGCGGAGCTGGCGGATGGACCCGCAGTCTGCACCCAGGAACGGCCGCCCCTAGCGGGAGAGTCCCTCCACAAGCTCCCGATCCCGCACCGCAACCCACTTGGAGTATATATACTGATTGGCGCTCACACGTTGTGAATGTGAAGTGTAACTTTATACTTTGTTGTAGGCTAATATATAAAACTGAACACAGCCACAAGTCACGGCATTAGGCTAAAACACTGACATTAATAATGAAGTTACTCACGTGCTAGTCTTTGTTCAATGCGTTCTAAACAGAACCTTAACTCATACAAAAAGTACTTAAAAACGTTTATGCAGATAAATCAAGTCAGCCCTTGTCTATCTCCGTATATTAAATGTTGACACTCTTAAGACTATCTTCTGGGCCAAGTTGCAACACGATTTCGCCACATTATGTCTGCAATAGTTAAGATAGCATTAGCTAACGTTCGCTAATGTTATCTTAACTAGCAAGCATATAAACTAGGGATGCACGATATTGGTTTTTTGAAACCGATACCGATAACTTCCTGCTTCTCAAGACCGACACCGATAACCGATACCGATAACCGATAATAAAACGTTTTTTACGCCACTAATTATTTTAACGCGATTAACGCATGTGTATTTTTTTTCCTCGGCCGCCCCGTAGTTTCAGAGCGCATCGAGTTTAAAATACCATCTACAAGCTGATGCTGACAGCCCAACCCAGTCTCACAAAAAAACGTGTAATAACTACGTTGGTCCACAATGTAGGACGTAGTATATCTACAAAAACGCCTGTGAAATTGTAAAATGCCTACGTTTTTTTTCACCATTCATTTCAATGGCTGGCTTCTATGTCACGTGATCTTCAAATTTCTCCCTGCAGAAAAAAAAACATGGCCGACCTTCGTTTTATTCTCGGTGTAAAATGCCTATTTTAAGGTTAGTTTGGTCATTAAAATGCGTTTTGATGTCATTTCATGCGAGAAATATGAGTTGTTATTTAAGATTATGTGTGCAGTGGGTGTACATGATCTTTAGTTTGCTAGTTATTACCAGAGGTGTGGACTCGAGTCACATGACTTGGACTCGAGTCAGACTCGAGTCACACATTTTATGACTTGAGACTCGACTTGACAACATCACAAAAGACTTGCGACTCGACTTGGACTTGAACACCAATGACTCGGGACTTGACTTGGACTTGAGCCTTCTGACTTGAGGTGACTTGCTACTTTAATTCAGAGGTCTCCAACACGCCGATCGCGAGCTACCGCTAGAAGAGCAGACTCCCGTCGGGGAAAGCAGAATCTTCAGCCGCTCCTACTCTTGCTGAGAATCCTTGCAGGCAGGGGCGGGTCTTTATTTAGCTGGGCCACCAGGCCAATCATATGCGAGGACACACTAGGATCATACCATTATGTGAAAGAAGGGTGGGGGCACAGCATGTGCAGAGCGACGGGGAGACGGGGAGCCGG